ACAGGACGACAGTAAACACACACAAAAAAAATAAATTTTAAAAAGTCCCACAACTCGCATGGACGCACTTCATTCATGGCGCCGTGTGTACTGCAAGAAAACAGGAAAAAAGGGAACACTGCCGACGTAAACATCCGCACACACACACACAAATATATACATCAAACAGACATCAAACAAATGATATGCGCAGTGCCCTGTCACGTAACAAAAAAAAAAAAAAAAAGGAGGGGCAAAAATAAAAGACACCTCTTTTTGTTCCTTTTTTTTTTTCTTTTTTTTTTGCTTTTGATCATCACCAATTTACATCTCAAAAAACCACACACACACACACAGACAGAGAGAGATAGAGGGAAAAAAAAGAAAAAAAAGAAAATTCAAAGCCGACAGCAAACAAATAAATAAATCAGTGAGGACGCCATTCTTCCTATTATTGCAGTCGCATGTGGGGGACTGTCTTTCCTACGAAAATGAAGGCACCAGCCGAATGGACTTGCGTGACTGAAGAGTGGAAGCCGAGCGAGCTGAAGCGGAAAGGAATGTGTTTTTTGTGCGTGGACCGGATTTTTTTCTATCGGAAACGGGATTAAATTCCACCGATGTCGGGGGTTCCACATCTAAAACACGGAGCCGCACAACCAATGAAGTAACCACACGGGAAAAGCCCGTCCATAATCGTCTCTTTTTTGTCTCCCGGCTATGATACGCTACAAAATCCCGAAATGAAAAAGAACATATTGAAGGATTCATAGGTGGGATTAAATGTGCCTTCCGATTCACACGTCGTTGTCGTTCTCCCCTTGTGACGTTTGTGCTTTGCTTGGATCCTGACTCCTCTCGTGCATCCGAGCTGGAATGCATGACCGTTGACGACAATTCTGTATAGTCATCATTCCTATGAATAGTGCGCCCTCCTTCACTGCTTGCGCATCTACTGTTGCTTTTGCTGCTGCTCGAACTCTCCTCGTCCTCCTGGTCGTCAAGGCCCAAATATACTTCCAAATCCGAGAGGGTATCTGCAAGTCGTTCCATTTCGCCGGTCGCTTTCTCATCCGTCTCCTCCTCGTCATGCCGTTTGCGAAAGGATTCCATGTTACACTGCTTTGAGCGTAGGCGCTTTTGAATAGCCGTATTTTTTGATACGACATGCAGACGACTGTTTCGCCCCCCTGAACGGTGTTTAGCAAATCCACCCTCTTTTGCCGTCGTAGCCGCAACAGCCGGCACCGGTTCTGCCTTTTCATTACACATTGAAGGGAACCCTGTGGTGCGATCCTGAAGCGCACCTTCTTCTTGGCAGCGTAGGGCGGCGTCTAAATCATTTTCCACCAGTGCTGATCCACTGCATGCAAGACGTGTGTACCCAACGAAGAGCGAAGCGAGCACCCAAAGCATAGCGGTGGGGTGTGCGGCCCGACAGAAGAGTGTGGGGGTAAAAAAGCTGTCCAGGAATGTGCAATGGCACAGCAGTGTGGGGTACAGACCTTCCATTGTCTGTATGTAGAGCAGGCGTCTCAGCTCCGTAAAGACCACGTCACTTTGCTCCTCCACAGGCAAACTTGTGCTGTCTTTTCCCTCAATTGAACGGCGACCCTCATTCCACCGGCTGACAGGAGGAGCTGACCCCGCGCACCGCGCCCCTTTTGCAATGTACACCGATTCCAACGCACGCACAAATTGCAACAGTGCGCCACAGCCAAAGTCTCCGTCATTCAAACCCGTGTTAATCTTCACGACGGGACGCCAAAAGTCACCCCCCACCGTGGTCCTCATGAAATAATTGACCCAGTCCAACAGAAAGGCCTCAAGAGCCCGACGTGCCTCAATCCCCAAATTGTTTGGAACTGATGCATTCAACGCGTATTTATCCTCAATAAGCCGCAAGGCAACGCCATACTTTCTCAAAGACGGCGGAACCATCACACAATTGACCCGGTATGAAAATGTCTTTGCCAAACGCTCCCAACGCTTGCTTTGCTTTTTTGTCATCAAAACGTTTGCCTGATGCTGTTGAATCTCATTGTCTATCGCACGAAGAGCAATCACATGGCCTTCTGCCAACTGAGACTTCAACGCCTCCTTTTTCATTTCAAGAATCAAATTCGACTTGCGTTCTTCCTCAAGTTGATTCATGAGGGTGGCCACTTTCTTCGTATTGGAGCTCTCCACAAACGCAAGCCGCACCTCAGACTCCTTCAACATCCTCAGCAGCTCCAACCCATGAGAATGGGTCGCAATGCGTCGCCAACGCAGGAAGCACCCCTCCATGCGAATACGCTGCCGCACACGCGTAAAATAAGCCGTCGCGGAATCAAAAAAAGATCGTTCTCGCTGTGTTGTTTTCCGCCATGCACAAAAAGTGTGCCAAAGACGCATGCGATCCACACGCCGCTGTGCAAAACGAAGGATAAGACGACTTTTTTGCAAGATTCCCTTCAATTCCTCAATCCTCCGCTGCAACCGGGCGTTCTCCGCGCGGCTCGCAAAAAAAGCGTCGGACCACAATTGCAGGCCCGTAAAGTCATGGCAGGACTCAAAACGGGGATAAAATAACGCATCAGCGCCTTCCGTCCCGGGAGCAGAAGAGGGCGCACATGGCCGAAAAACCGCCTTAAAAATCACATCACGAAGTTCAGGCCAAATAACAGACATTTTGGGCTCACGTGTAAGAAGCTCATTGAGCAAATAACACGCCACACTCACAAGGAAGCGACTGCTGGGTGCGTCCTTCTCTCTGCGCTCCCGCTGAGAGCGCGGCCCCAACGCAGCGAGCAACACCTCTTGGAAGCTTGTGTCGGCCCAATGTGCCACACATTGAAAGCCCGACTCCTCAAACGGGAGTGGAAAACCGCGTGGTAGTGCACCACCTCCGCCTCTATGCACGCCAGTAACCTGCAAAGACTTCACTTCCTCCGCCGCACCGTTCAGCTTGCTGCGATTGTCACCGCATGAAACAAGGACTCTTCTCTCTCTACTCGAAGTGGACAAGGATGCTGGTGGCAGCTCTCCCGTCGCATGTGCCGTGCGTGCTGCTCCCCTTTTTTCTGGCAATGAAAAGACCGAAGAACGAGTCTCTGTGATGACTGGCGGGTCAATAACGCAGGGCGGCAACACGCCCTCCACGCCCTCTAACAAAACCTGCATGTCACGATCCACACGTGACCGTACAGCTGCACGCTCTCGTCTAAACACCCGCTGCTGCTGCGCCTCCCTTTGCCGGAGAGCGACCGTCGTTTGATCCATTTCACTCCGAAGCTGGAAATCTGCGCGACCAACACTTACCAGAACGGGGCTCTCGCTAGCCAAATCCCGCTCATGCCGACTACTTAGACCTAAAGGCCGCATTTTTATGCCGTCACCCCTCCAAAGCACACACACACACACACACAGTGAGAGACAGACACACGCAGCCAAACAGAAAGGAAAGGGAAATGAAATAAAAGAGCAAAAAGAAAAAAAAACATATTCAACAACAAAATTTTCTTGCCGCGCAATGAGGCACTCGAGGGATGCAGTAAAAAAAAAAAACACTAAAAAAAAAGCAATGGAAGAAATTACTCACAAAAAAAATCACTCACACACACACATACACCAAAAAGAAAAAAAAGTGTATTCGCTCGTGGGAAAAGTATCCAACTCTTCAGTATACTCAACACAGAAAGGCAGCAGTCAATTTAAAAAATAAAGTAAATAATAAAAGATAAATAAATGTGCGCTTAGCTGAGGTCCGCGTGCCCACAAAGACGGAGCGGACGAAACAACGGGCGGAGGAGATGACCGTTTGGTTCCATGCGCCCAACATCCCCCACACTCCGACTGAGACCCATTCAAACACGCATGCACAAACGTAGAAGGATGTGTTCATAAATAAAAACCGCAATGATCACCGGGCCTCTTTGTGAAAAGGACAACGTGGCATTCATCAAGAGGCCCCGCCGCCTCCCAACCTCCCCTCGTGGAGAGCAGCAGTAGAAAGAGAGTGGAACAAAAGGAAAAAAGACCTCCACTTCCTGCCTTCCCTCGCGGCATCTTAAGAAACAACCCAATCCACGCGGAAAAGAAAAAAAAAAGGAAAATGTATATATATATATATACATATATTCCTTCTCTGCTCTTTTGGCTTGTTGTTTGCTCAATTCATCTCTATTATTATTATTATTCTTATTATTGTGCCTTCTTTATTGTTGTTGTTGGTTTCATTTGTCTACGATACTTCGCGGTAGCAAAGGGCCGGGTATACAGGTATACATACAACATCACCTGTCATGTTTGGCAAAGTTGGTGGATGATCCACCAAACGATATAACAAACTCTCGTAGTGCATTACCATGACGTTACTGCTGAATAATTTCATAGCACGTTCGCGGGCTCGACGTGCTGTTGCCTTGGCCTCGTCAGGATGAAGCATGTAGTAAAGAATCTCCCGCGCCAACCCCATCACATCGCCAACAGTAAACAGGCGACCGTAATCTGTACACGGTACCACCGACAATGCGCCGCCAAGGGCGGTCACAACAAGTGGCACCTCGGACAAAGCTGCCTCAATCATCACCGTGTTCAAACCGTGATGCTGGTAGAAGGGATCTACAAACACGTCAATTGCATGATAGAAAGTTCCAAGTTCCTCCTGAGAGAGCATTCCCAGCTGAACGACAGAGAGCCCCTCCATGCGCATGGAAGCATAAATATTCCCCATCGCACCCTCGCCGGTAACAAGAAGCGTCACGTTTCTGTACTGTTCCATAATGTGGCGCATCGCATGAGATAACTGCAGGTGCCCTTTTATTTCCACCAGTCGGCCGCCACATCCCACGACAAAATGTTCCGGCGGCACCCCATGACTCCGCAAAAATGCATCACGCATCCATGTTCCCTCACGTGAATGAAAGATGCCGGTGTTAACACCGTTATAAATCAATGCAATCCGTTCCCGGGGCACGTGTTGCATTTCCACCAGATCCCGCTCAGCCGTGTCGGATATAACAATATGTTGAGGGATCGTCAGGAGCATGTACTCCTCCATTGCCACCGCCTTCGCAAGATCCCGCATGCGTTTCCACATTTCCCTCCCTGGTGCCTTGCGCCCCACACGATAGTTGTGCGCAATACGGTTCAACTCATTACGAAACCAGTCAAGCATGGAGCCATGCCAGGTTACAGCAAACGGAAGTCTTAGCTGGTAGATGTTCGGCACGGCTGCCCAACTCTCACTGTGTACCACGTCAAAAGGCTGTTTGGTGTGAAGAATGTTGAATGCCTTAACACAATTATTCATCCACGCTACACTGTACCCCATATTTTCGGAAGAGGGTACTTGCTGCACCACCAACCGTGCCTCGGGGTTTTTACATACCCTTGCCGTGTTGTTTTCTGGGTCGGCACAGTACATCAACTCACGCCTATAGTTTCCAGGAGGACCTGTGACAAAGACATGGACGTAATGGCCCCGTGCAGCTAATTGAGAGTAAATTTGAAAGGCATGAAGTTGCATGCCACCGGACTTGTGAATGGGTGCAATCCACAAGCGCGTAAAGGCGGCGATCCGCAGTCGACTACGATGTTGAATTTTCCCTGCAGCAGCAACGGCCTCCGCAGCGTAACGGGTGTACTTTTCCACTGTCCGCAAAACACAAGATTTTTCCTGCACTCCATCGCCATTTAGAGGTTGGGTCACTTGAATAACGGTGGAAGAAATTGGTTGAAATTCCGTACGATACTCGGCATTTTCAACATGTTTCAATAGAAACAGTTGCGTACAAAAAAATGTCAACCATAAAAAAAAAACCATCAAAAAAAGAAAACTTTTACGTGACATGCGAAACAAAATCAAACCACCCATTCGTGGTGTATCGGAGCCAACCATAAACGGGGGGGTTTGTTTGTTTGTTTGTTTGTTTTTCTCAGAAATCGCGCCTCTATTCATTCAAACACAACAAAAGCACACATAACAAGAGGGTAGCACATAAAAAGAGAGGCAAAAGAAGAGAGAGAGAGAGAGAGAGAGAGAAATAAATAAATAGATACGCATGCATGCACGTGGAATATATACGAATACATACATGCGCATGTGTGTTGATGTACATGCCAGACAAAAGCCAAGTTCCCCTTCGCACATCTGATGGGAAACTCCGATATTCTCAGACTTGCACATTAAAGAAAACAACAACAACAAAAACAAAGAAACCCGTTGAATCTCTGGCAAATAAATAAATAAAACACTGCATTGCGGCTGCAGTTGTTTCCCTCCATTTATTTATTTATTTTCTATTTTTTTTTTATTGTTGCGTCCTTTTCTTTTTTTCTTTTTTTTTTACACAAATTCCGTAAAATACATCGACGTCATGACCACAAATAATGAGAAGAAAAAGAAAAAAAAAAAAAGGGGGGGGGGGATTAAAATACATTTGTGCTATGCTCCGATTTTTGTAGCACGTACAGGGCCTTACCTACCGTTTCCACAACAGCGTCGTGGAATGAGAGCACGTCGAGTATATTTAGCAAACGGTCATTGTCGAGCTTCCGCAACTCGTCACGATATCTTGTTGGGAAGTTAGAGTGCATGGAATCACTCTTCTCCCGCAGAAACGTGTCTTGTGCTCCTATAGAAACAATAAGCTTAGTTAATTTGTCATGGTGCTCTTGGATCTCCTCCTGCACGGTGCGCACCATATCCTGCATAGAGCGCAAGGCCGTGTCATACTTGGGGGTGCGAAGCGATGCGCTGGCCACGTCAATACGATGGCCGAGATCTCGCTTCATCCGGTCCACATCCAGTTGACTGGTTTGCAGGGCCGACTGCACCTCAGCCTTCAAGGATTCACTCTCTACCTCAAATCGCATAAGTTTTCGGTTCACTTTATCCCGGAGTCCTTGCATCTCCGCTGTTTTCTCCTCCAACTCTGTTTTCTTCTCCTCCAACAAACCCCGGAGGGTTCCGTTCTCCACTCGCACATCGTCTACCTGCTTCTGCATCTCAGCCTGCACCTGTAGCCGTAGCATCTCAATTGCCGCATTGGGATCTTGACCGGATCCCAGCTGAATGCCATGGGCACGAAGGGCCTTGAAGGCATCATTGAGGTACTGCTGTCGATCATTCACGACGGCCAACTGTGCACGGACCATGTTCATGACAAGAAGGTTGTAGTCTGGCATGAACAACTCACGTGTGGTATCCTCCTCCTCTTCAATACCAACGCGTTGCGCCGCCTCTGTCGCGAACAATGAGGCCATATAAGCCATCCCCATGTCCTCTTTGGAGGCACCACGTGATGAGGCCGACCGCATCCTTCCCTTCTTCCCCTTCGTCAATCTTTTTTTGCTTCCGGAACGACTGCTGCCCCCTCTTTTCTTGAGAGATTTACGTCGTCGCGACGTCGATGCACCCGAACTCCCATGCGTGCGAGAGAAACCCGACGAAGCTCGAGACAATTTCCTGTGCCGACCTGAGCCCAAAGGGGCCGAGGGCTTGCCAAAAGACGAGGCTCGGCTGCCCAATTTCGATGCGGATGAGGGGGAGCCCTTTCGTTTTCCCCCGGAGCTTCCCCTCGGCGTGGGGGTTCGCGATCCCGTCGCCTTCCGTTTTTTTTTTAAGGTCGGACTCCCTCCGGACGCCGCGCCGGCCGCACCCTTTGAAGTGTTATTTCGGCCCTGATGCTTGCTGGCGATGGGCGGTAGCTTTTCCGCTTTTTTCCCTTTGCCCTGTTGCTGAGTCGGACTGCTGCCGCGTTTCGGTCCTGAAGAAGAGAGGGAACGCTGCCGCCGTGAATCAATTGAGGCCCCTGATTTAGTATTCATGGACGATGACCCGCCGGCGTGTGTCGTGAACCCCCTGCCGCTCAACTCCTTCCTGCCGCCCGAGTGGCTCCTGTTATTGGTCCACTGGGCGATAACTCCACTGTCCTCCATCCCCTTCCTGCAGGTGAGTGACGACAAGTGAGAGAGAAGGGGGGCGGAGAAACAACCCCCCCACAAAAAAAAAAAAAAAAAAAAAAAAAAACGGATCGCAATATATATATACACACAAATAGAAAAGCCAAGAAAAGTGTAAAACAAAAAATATGTATTCGCAAGCAACCTTCAAATTCAAATTCAAAAAAAAAAAAAAAAACTCACTTCAAGGCGGTCGGCAACAGAATCTTTTTATTTTGCAATCTTCCCTGTTGAATCCTCTGAGAGCCGCCACAAATTCCCCCCGTGCGTGAATGCACGTGAGAGGGGAAATCGCACGGCAGCGAGTGCTCGCACAATGACTGTATCGTCACCCTCAGCCAGCAGAAGCTTACCCACGTCATCATATTTATTAATAGCAGCTGCTGCTGCTGCAACGCCATGACTACCGCCGCGACTAGCAGCGATGTGTTCATCATCCCCTTCACAAGGAGCGCCGTCCATCAAAAGTGCCGCCCTCATTTTACGTCGCACAAGAGCTGATATCAGGAGAAAAAACTGCTTTAACCCTTCCCTGCGCCGCCGTATTTGGGAAATCATCCGCGGCAACCATTCCTGAAGGGTGTGATGCAGAGTGAACAGGACGCAGAGCCGGATTTCCTCGTCCGTTACATCACAGAAGGAGCCAAGACGCTCCAGGTATCCTTTTTGGCGCCTAATTAATCGGCACAGCGACGCAATGGCCAATGCGAGAGGCCGAAGCAGCACCCGCACGTGCGGTCTGATAAACATGGCGTTCTGCAGGAGCTTCTTTAAGAAGAAGCGTGACCAGAGAAACCCAATCTCGCAAAGCGTCTGCACCACACGGGTCTTCGTGTTTATGCGACGGCAAAGCACCGTCAGTGGTGTGCGAAGACATAAAATACTCATCAATCGCAGAGAACAATGCAGCGGCTCATTTCCCGTCATTGGACGTGAGGCGATGTGTGGAAGTAGTGACGATAAACGTCTCCACTCCACAGAAAACTCCAACGTCTGCGGATTCCACAGCAGACCGCACCACGGAATAAGTGCGACCGTCGTACATCGTAGCTTTTCATCTTGGCAAAAAAATCCCACCTCAGGCCATCCATGGCGCAACGCCGCATCACATCTAGCAGCCGCCACAGGAGAGAGCGTAACCACCAAGACATCATCCACTCGTCGTAAAAGCAGCGCCGGCTCTTCATGTTGTGAAAGAATATTTGAGAGAGAATGATCCACCGTTTCAAGAAGTATGTCGCAGAGCAGCATGGCTACTGCAGAGCCTTGGGTTATTCCCACTCCCTGCGAGTAAAGTCTGCCTTCGATGACCACAAGATGTTTCTGCAGGTGTTGCCCCAAAACTGTCCGCATTTCATCTCCACGCATCACGGACTCAGATGGTGGTATGGGCTCTTCGTACATAATCCATCCCTTTGGAATACCTGGAAGCGTTCCATTTTGGACACACTTCCCGGAAACCGTCTGCAACTTCACACGCCGGTGCAGTAATACCCCGACGCTTGGTGCGTCCTCTTCGGCCGTTTTCCATCCTTGTACACCCACTCCCTCCACGGTGGCAGTCCCTCTCCCATCGGTCAATGGGGCAACGGCTGTGAAGGATAACGTGTGGTAGAACTCATGAGGGAGAAGACGCCTGACAGTATTCATCACCGCCTCTTGAGGAAGACAATCGTAACACCTCGCCGCGTCCCCGCGTACCATCGTCACCACAGCACTGCTTTCCACCGGGGCGGCAGAAGGCACTAGAGTGGATGCAAGCAGCGGATGGTGAAAAAACCTTCGTGCACCCTCGACGAAAGAGCGCACCTCGGCGTATTCATCCTGATGAGAAATATTTGTAAACTTCACCAGCGACGATCCGACGCATTGCTCCGCCAGACCTGCAAGAAGACAACGGAGTGCCCCCCGCAGGACCGTGGCGTTGGGAGAAACAGCACTGCTTCTCTTAGTTCGGTTCGTGGATGCCACCGCCCTGCCAGAGACATTGCAAACGGATGGTGTTGCTGGCGAACACAACCCATCGGCCATTTTCAGCAACCACCGCGCGTTGGCAAACCGAACTCGTGCGATGGGGCGCAACTTGCGTTGGTCTAACAGAAACCGAATGGATGAGTACAACAACGGAGGAGCGGTAGTTACAGCGGGGACGGCGTCTTTTCCAGGTGGCATCTTCAATCCCACAATTTTTTCTGAGGTCAGTCGCTCCAAAGCCATGGGCGGCAGTGCCATCGGCTGCGGGGCACCATCACCGTCTCTCTCCCTCTTCGTTCTTCGCCGGCGTCGAAGGCAGACTTGTCGCAGTTCACGACTGACGAGGCGAATCCACACCGATTTCGGTATGAATAAAAACGCATTAGGTTTTTTCGATGACCACGTCACATGGAACGAACTTCGCACCAAAAACGGCACTACATGCTGAAAGAGAAAAAAAAAAAATTGAAGGAGCACCCGCTGCTGAATCATGGACCGTCGCCTGCGCCCAGAGCCTCGGGTGTAGAAGCCACGCAACCATGGAAGCTTCGCAACAGGCATCTGATGCAGAAAGTGACTGAGCGGAAAATTTTCGTGTCGCCCACATTGCAGCCAACTCAAGGTGATAGCGCACAGCCTTTCCAGCACCAACGCCTCTCCCCAAAAGCTCACCCGCTCTGTAGCTTGCGGTGCACGCCACCAGATTCCACCCAGTAAACTGCGGAGGTATGATGTCATAATGGTCTCAGGCACGGTGAGTTCCGATACAGGGACGGCCGCACATGCCCCGGCCTCTCCACGGGGACGGACATGGTTAAAAGAAAGACTGCGCTCCTCCAGAAACCCAGTATGTTTGATCGCCGCACCGCGAAAATTCATTTTACACACACCACTCAAAACACAGTGAAGAACATGTGTAAGATGCCGCTCCACAGACGCCATTTTCACAGTGTTGTCTTCATCAACGTTGATGGAGAGAGTGTAGGGAAACACAAGGTGAACCAATTCCCTTGACACGGC